TCTCTCTCTCTCTCTCTCTCTCTCTCTCTCTCTCTCTCTCTCTCTCTCTCTCGTGTCTCCATCTCTCTGTCTTTCTGTCTTGCTGGCTCTCCGTCATCCTGTCTCTCTCTGTCTGTCTCTGACGACCACTGACCAGTGGGGCAGCTGGTGGCTTCACTTTGGGGCAAAAGTGGATGGCATAATATGTAGGGAGATCGCATTCAGGAGCTATATTATCTGCTATTGTGTTGTGCAGGTCATGCATGGAGGATACCTGGAATGGACACTTTTAAGGTTTCTCAAGGCCAGAGAGTTCAACGTGCCCAAGGCGTATCAAATGGTAATCTCATTTTTCAAGTGCCAATCTTTTCAAACGATCTTGATAAAGGTGTCCCTGTTGCCCTCTGGCCAGTCCAAAGAGTCACTTAACAGCGTCTGGTCTGACTGTTTAACTGCCGCTCTGACACCTCCCTGCTTACTTTCATTAGGCCTATCTGCATAGCTTCCTAACCTTTTAAAAACAGTTGAGGTTGTTTTCTGAAGTGCATGCATCTTACCATTATTATTTTCAGACGAGGCCTTTCTGGTCTGGAGTATGGCGGTGTTATGTTTTGCTATGTGAGTTTATGCTTTGTCACGCTGGCTTGCTGGCTGGGTATTGTGTTTCTTTTTTTTTTTTTTTTGAGTTTGGTAGCAGCTAGCTTGCTATGCGCTCGTTTGTTAAACCACCAGTACCTTACGAAGCACTCCTCCGAACCTTCTTTTTTTCTTTCGATCTACCGAACCTCTTTGTTTCGGGAGGAGGCAGCTGGAGTAAAGCAGTGCTACAGTGGGCGACCGGTCCTTCCGTGTTGAGGGACCGGTACTTCAACTTGAATTCCCTCCCCCCCCCCCCCCCCCCCCCCCCCCCCCCCCCCCCTCCTTTGCTTTTCTTTTTTTTCTCTCTTTCCCCCCGTGTTTTGTGCCTGAGTGAGGGGCATTCCAGTGAACGTGTAGAAGAGGAAAGAAACAAAAGAAAAAAAAGGAAACCAACATTTGGCCGTGATAGTCGTCAGATACATTCCGGAACGTTCTAGTGTGAGTATGCCCTCAGCGAGGGCCATTCCCGAGAACGTGGACTGAGCTCTGCCTTGCGGGCAGGGTTGTAACAGGAAGGAAAGAAAAAGAAGAAAAGAAAACAATGATTTGGCCGTGAAAGTGGTCAAATACATTGTGGACAGCTCTAGTGGGAGTATGCCCTCGGCCAGGCCTTCCCTGACATCTGTTTGGAATTTTGGAGTAGTTAGTTGGAGGGAAAAAAAAAAAAAAAAGAAGGAAACAAAGATTTTGCCGTGATAGGCCCTCAGTCATCCCTGCCCTAGGGCCATGCTAGTCTTCTCTGTACGAATCCATCTTCTCATGGAAGATTCATTTCGAGTTTGCATGTTGTTGGGTGCTCGTTTTTTCCCCTTCTGTTTCTTTGTTCGGGTGCACAGCCTCCCATTCACAAACGACAAACTGTAGCTCTGACATACATCGATTGATGTGTGTCACTGTAGTGCAGAGCCATGCTAATCATTTCTGTATTGTTCCTATTTTCTGAGGAAGATTCATAATGCATTTGTACGTACGGAGAGTACAGCACTCGTTTCAAAATTGAAGCCACTATCCACGCTGTGCACAGGCGTTTTATTTGACTGGACCTCAATTTTCTTCTCTTTTTTTTTTGCTCCTGTGCTCTCTGGTCGCTTGTTCTCGTTTTCAAAACGAGCTACCGCCTGCGCCGAGGCTTCACCGAGCCGCTACCAAGCCTTCAAAGGTCTTCTGTGAATTCAGGAAGACAATTTTTTTTGCCTGGGCAGGGTACTGTGGTTGAAGCTGGCAATCTGCTGAGAGCTCATGGTTGATCTGCCAACCCCCCTTAAACCACCAGTCCTTTCGAAGTCACTGTCTTCTTATACGAGTACCGCCCCTCGGCCGCTCAGCCCAGGAACGGAAGAGCAACTGATGAGCGGTAACTCCTGGCCCAAAATGTCTACGGGGGGCGCCCAATGCCTACAGAGGCCAGTAGAAGTACTGTGCCGATTTTTCCAACGGCCAGTACCGGCCACTTGGGCTCGGCAAAATCCATTTCTCGGTTTGTCAATATGGCTTCGAATAGACTGTTGGTTTAAGGAAAGGCAATTTGCCCTTTGAATTCTTTGAACCCTTTAAAGTTTTCTTTATCCAGATTACAGAATCCTCGCACAGCATGAGCCCTGCACCAGCAGGAGCAGGAGGAGGAGGAGGAGGAAGAAGAAGGGTGGAATAATGTGCAGAAGAGGGAACAGAAGAAGGAAGTAGGAGCAGCAAAAGGAGCAGAGGAGAAGGAGAGGAGGAGGAGGAGGAGGAGGAAGAGTGGAATAAGGTGCAGAGGAGAGAACAGAAGAAGGAAGACGAGCATCAAAAAGATGCTTCCTTGCATGGCCTGCTATGAATGGCAAAAGCACCAGAAGGACAGGAAGCTACAAGCAATGTAGAAACATTTGTGCTGTAGTGCAGCCTCCGTTCTCACATGAGGAGTCCTTCAGCTCCAGTCCAGCCACGTTTCTAATTCTGGCAAACACGGGATGGTGGTATTCCAATACCATTCTCGGCCTTTTGGCTAAGATCCAGTGTAGTATGTGTCCTGACCAGTTTAATATCTGATCCAAAAAATCCATATTGGTTGCAGAGGAACAAGAAGGTTGACACATGCCATGTCCGAGAATCCCGAGGAGTGTAAACAGGTTGCGTGCGTGTGTGTGTGTGTGTGTGTGTGTGTGTGTGGTTTCTATTGTTCTGTGGTCAGCTTTGGCTCCTACTGGTAATTGGTAAACCAGGTTCAAGTGGAGACACTACTAGTTGTCCTTCACCTAGATCTGAATATATAAATGAAATCCTTGTACGCAAATGGACAAAATCTAATGCACTTCGAATGCGTTGACCCGTTCTATAAGGCAGAAAGACACATCGTGTACCTGCATGGTGGCTGAATGGAGCATGCATGTAACCATTCACATGCCATGGGCCCATGGACTACAAAAATGCTAAGGGGTGGGAGGAAATACACAGTAGTGCATCATCAGGGCGATCACAGTCACAATGTACAGGCACGGAAACCCACAGAGAAGAAGTAAAAGACCCAGAAGCAAATAAATTCAATAGAAACAGTACTCAGCCAAGTTTCTCCTGCTTCCCATTCTGCCCCCGTCTCCCTTCTTCTAACCTCTCTATGGCAAACACACGTGGTTAACCAGGGGTGTTATTTTCAACGAATTTTGCACCGAATTGCGCTGAAACTGTCATATTGTGCTGATTTTTTGTTTTTTTTCTTGTTTTTCTTTTTGTGTGATATATATGTCCTTTAGGGTACGTCATGTGTGCAGTTTTGACATGTTTGGATCAATAATGAAAAAGTTGGCATTTTGCTGGATTTGTTGGACGCTTCATTTTGACTCGGACAGTGTCTTTGTGTTAGGGTTTCATAGTGTTTTTTTGTTTTTTGTTTTTTCGTTTTTATTGGCCTGTTTCCTTTTTTGATGTTTGCACTATGGTCTCATATCGTTTGTTTTTAAAAATTTTGATGAACTTCGCACCGCAATTGCCAACGAAAATGGCGAATATTTAGGCCCCCGTTAACCGTCTCTTGCCTGACGTCTGCTGCTGGTGGCCAGCCTCTGAAAGTTCAGTTGCAGAAGAGACAAGTTCCCCTTTTCAACAACTCATTATTGATTTTTTCAACCTGATAATTGATTCGCCACTCTTTTATGTGCTCTGATGCAGTTGACAGATTCCCTGCGGTGGAGGATCAAGGAGGGTGTGGACAATGTCTTGCAGGTGATAAGAGTTTTCTTTCCTTGACTTTTTGTCGAGCATGCATGTACACGTACATGGAAAACTTGCATAAGATCTGCTGGCAGGACTGAGGTGGCAGTTGACTTGAACAGTCAGTTTTGATCTCTGGTCTCTTGTTTGGTGTAAGTACAAACATCAACCAGGTCACTTCAAATGGCTTTCAGTACCTCCGATTCTGTGAAGGAGTGTGGAAACAAAATGGCGAGTGCGGTCACCCGAGGGTCCTACCTAGGACTTGGGTAATCAATGGGGAGTTGTGTTAGAGTGGGTGTGGAATCAATGAGTTTTCATCATAATCATAATCGTTGGAAATTTTTATTGGCTGGGATGCTGTTGAGCATACTGGTCACATGCTGCTCATGGAATTGAAGGCTGCTGGAAAATCAGCTGTGGGCGATTGTTACGAGTCATCGTGTCGGGCTGGTAGGTGGCAGATGAGATAACCTGCCTGTCACAGCCTTGCAAAAAAGTGGTGCCTCTACTGTTTTCCCTTACTGCTCGGGCACATTCACAACCCTGCTCATAGCATCATCATATGGCTGGTTTCTGCAATTTTGGTTTTGTTGATTTGCTTTAGTTCGGTTTGGCCGTGTTGTTCGCGTTTGATGTTTTTTTGGTCTTGTTTTCTGCTGTCTGGTCTGATCTTGGTTCGATGCTGTTGGATCGGTTTGGTAACTTTGGTCGTGTTCAAGTTCTCGTTGCGCTGTGCTCACTGTTGGAGGCACCATTCGCCATGGCACGCGGATTTGTGATTAAATCACCAGTTCACATTTGCCTAAGTTGATGAAGCTATCTTCCAAGGCTCATTAGCCCGCAACTACGCTTTTCGAAGCGGCCTGCCACATTCACTACCAGCCCAGGCCTGTATCGAAAAGCTCTTACCGCTTGAACCGGTAAGAGCCCTACTCTGCTTCGGGTGAAGTGGCGGCTAACTGAATCAGTCTTCTGTAGTCTTCGACTGACTCTGAATGGCATAGGTGTGACAGTGCTGGGTTTTGATTGTTAGTTCCTTTGAAATGGTTTTGTACGTCCTTTCTTTTTCCTGGAACGACGAGCAGCCCAGAACGGAGTTGTGCATATCTGACCTGATCAGGAGTCGAACTCGTGATCTGCATATCCACAGTTAGATGCGCTTATCATTCACCCACATGGGCTGGGTCAGTGGAGCTGTTTCGATCTGCTGACTGCATGGGAATCACTCACCTTCCGTGCATTCTTAGCATCAAGAATGGTCTTGGATGCTTGTTCAGAGGCTCTCACAGTTGACCTCAGCTTCCCTTGCTCCTTCTGCATACTGATAAAGGCATCATCTTTTTTTTTTTTTTTTTTTTTTAAACGAATCTATATTCTTCACTCATATACCTCACGCTACCTACCTGTCTACATATATGTCCAGTTTTTCCAAGGGATGCTCAAGGTTATGGGTCCAGTTTCCAGTCTTCTATTCTGCTGTATGCGGGGACTAGCACCCTGGTTCCTAACACCTGGCATGAGCTGGAAAGCCTAACCAACTTTCACAACCAGCCAGGAGGCCCAAGCCAAATATCTCCGCTGGTGAACCCGAATTGCATCACAGGGGGCCGTGGGGGATCGAATGGACGACGTGGGGAATCGAACCCACGCTCCTGAATACCACTTACGTGCTCAACCAACTGAGCTAGCCCGCTTGGGCTGCATCATCTTTATCTTTATTGCCTGGAAATTTGTAAAATGTGATTTCTGTGTGTCTCGTCTTGTTTTTTCTGCCTTATATGAAGCAGTATCTATCTGGCCTGGAGGATGTGATCTCTCTGTCAAGTCTGTTTTTTTTTTTTTTTTTTTTTCGTTTCTGAATCCTCTGATTCAATTTTATCTTGGGTTCTGCTTGCCCTGCGCACGTAGCAAAGTGCATCCTGGCTGGAGTTGTGTGTCCTGTTTATTTTGGCTTATGTGTTGCTGGCAGATAGCTGATTTGTTAAAAAGCATGAAAAAAGTGATGAGATGTACACAACACTCCACATGCAATTGGACGCTTTCTGGACCAGCTGCATCCAGAGGAGTCCAACGTTTTGAATGTATCGGGTCCAGAAGTCATCCAAGTGCATGTAGAATGTTCTGTTGTGGAGTGCGGGCCAGCGAGATGATGCATGTTTGGATGAGATGATGCCTGTTTGTTTAATGACGGACAATGTACAAGTGCCATGAGGGAAGAAAAATGTTAAGGGAACCTTAAGAAGGAGAAATAGAGAACTTGAGACCTTATGCAAGTGATTGGTTGAGCGATTCTTTGAAGTTTTGCCAGCCATTACAAGGCTAACATGAGCATTCCTTTTCTGGTTTGTGAACTCTTGGTTGATGTGACAGCGGGACCTGACGGAGGATGTTTTGAAGAGGGTTCGCCATGGTAGCCTCATCGCTTTCAGAGGATACTGCAACAAGGTGTGCTACCTGTCAGAATTTCGCTCTCTGTCATCCGCATCTGCATCAGTTGTTTTGAATTCTATTTCTGCATGCGCTCAGCTCTGCGTTAGCAGCTTGTCAATTCAAGTATAAATAACAAGTGATATTTCTTTGATGGTGGTGAGAACATGTTTGTCATGTCTTTGCAACCAGTCTTCCACTCACTGCCGGGGTTTGCCGGAGAGTCGCTGGGCATCAAACTCCATGGAGCAGCAAGTCGTTGCCTTCTCAAAAAAATTGAGGCATATATCACATTCATGTTGTTGTCAGGGATGGCTACCTTCTTCCTCTGAAAAGAATGTGCGGTCATTTCTGCTGGATCTGGACTTAAAGGTGATCCAAAAAATATGGCTATAATGACCGTACGTTCTATTCGGGGGAAGGCAGTCGTTTCTCAAGTTGATTGATCTGTCCCATTCTCTGGGGCGCTCAATTGGAGTCACCGCTGATAACATTGGTACAATAGTTTTTGTCTATAAACAAAAGATGAATAGAAAGGAAGCATGAGCACGGGCATACTCACACTTGTACTTTATCCACCTTGTCCCTGATGGATGACTTGTACTTTATCCACCTTGTCCCTGATGGATGCCACTGTTGGCACACTCACGCATGCGCCTGGACCCGAAGTGCTCTGTCCATTGGGCTCTCACCTCTGACAGCCTCCGACAAGGCGGAGAGTAGTGTTCCTATGCCCGTTTTTATTTGCTAGCTTGCCACGGGGTGCAAAGAACTGCATAGGGTGCTATCGCACATAGATTAAGTCATTTATTCTTTAGCAACTTATGTTCCTGGAAGTTTCCTACCTCTCCTTTTCTGCCTGCGCCATTCCTGGTCGATCTGGATGCCCCGTCTGTGTCCGTTGAAGTGAATTGAGGCTTTGCTGATGTGGCTGTGCTCCTTTTCTTTGCGTCCTGGCAGGGAAGACCTATATTTGCTTATGCTCTTGGTCTCTCGGACTTTGTGGGGGCAACGGTAAGGATCAACTGCCACCCATATTTTCTTAAGAAGTAATGTAAGAGCAGGAAAGATTAAAAAAAATGTGCATCATTGCCTGCCGCCCTTCTACAACCCTGACTGTTTTGTGAAAAGGGAACTCCCCCCCCCCAAAAAAAAAAAAACTCATCAGCTACCACAATACATGTACAGTGATATCGTCATAAGTACTAGAGAAGGATCATACATGTTTTTGCTTTTTCCGATTGTCTTAGGCGTTTTTTTCCTGAGCACTACAGAAGAGTCATAAATGTTTTTTCTTTTCTCGATAGTTTCAGGCATCTGCTTCTGCTGCCCAACTTCTGGGATAGCATTAGCTCATAGATATGTGCTTTCGTCTCTGTCACACTCACTACAATGCCATAGTTTCTGCATGCACGTGTGTAGAGGACTTTCCCTCCGTTCCTGACTGCAGGCACCCTCACTATATGTCCACTTTGTGTCCATGGGTGCTATACTGAATGCATGGTCTTTTGTAGTGACTGTTCTTCCTTCATGTTGGCCTGCAATTGACATGCCATTTGTCGGGAGTGTATGCTGGGCATTCTCAATGGCAGCCGTCGGCGTGGCAGTTGTTGTTGTGAGAATGTTCAGCTAGGTCTTCCATGTGTTCATCGACCACATTCTTACAATGTTTGTCCTCTCTGTCGTCAAGGACAGACTAATTCTTGAGCCGTTTCTTATCCTCTTCTTTGCTTCAATCTTCCTTCCACACTCCTTACTTTCCCTCGTTCTTTGTTTTGTCTTCTCTCCCCCTCTCTTCTCTTTGTTCATCTTCTCCCCCTTATTCTGCCTCTTTCCCACGGCGTACAAGTGGGCCGTTATTAACAAGGGATGCGGGCAGATTGTGCTCAACTTCATCAATGTGGCGAGCCTTGTGTGAGAGGCCCGGTGGAGGGGAGTTAAAGGAAGAAGGAGAAAAATGGTTTCAGTATGCTCTTCATGTTTGTCTTGTGTATTTTATCTTTTGTTTCCCAAAGTGCGCTCTCTCAAAGATATGTGACACTATATATGTAACAATGCCTCCCGTCTCGAAAAAAAAAAGATATTAAAATAAAATAGAAAAAACTCTCTCCTGTTATCACTTCCTCTGCGGATGTTGCAGTTGTGCCCCGCTTTGCAATTTAGTGAATTCTGGTATTGTATGAAGTCAATGAATTGCATATTTAACTTGACAATGTAACATTTTATTAATAAATTTGACATGTCAGTGCGATGGTTGACGAAGATTTTGACAAATTTCCTCTCTTGGTGAACTGTCCAAGAAAGGGGCGATGATGCAAGTGGAGCATGCGTTGGGGTTCTTTTTGGGATTGAAATCGTTACGATCTTCCAAGGAAATCCCTTTTGGGATGGAAATAGTTACGACCTTCCAAGGAAATCGCAATTTCAAAGCAAACAGTGACAATTCGAGTACGTTATCGATGAGGTATATAACTTTTGTTGCTTCCACTTGTTGTTTTGTCCTCTCTCTTCAGGTGCTTCCTGTTTCTCTCCCTTTGTTCTCCTGTGCTCTGCATTCACCTCACATCTCGAATCCTTGGCTTATCTGAAAGATATGTTCTTTGTGCATGTGATGTTATCCTGCAGGTGGAGGAGCACGTGGCTGCACACATTCAGTTGAACGAGTATAGAGACAGGGTCATTCTGGTAAAGGGCACTCCCAACTCCGATTTGTCCTGTCATGTCTGTTGATGATGGCCATGTACAGGTTGTGCTGATCAATGTTTGAAAACATATGATGATAATTCGTCACCACTATACTAGAGGATGTGCTATCATCTTCCCCTAAATAGAACGTACGCTCATCATAGCTGTATTTGGGGCAAGTTCCAGTCTAGATAGAGGGGAGAGAATGACTGTACGTTCTAATCGGGTGATGATGGTAGTGCTTTTTTTTTTTTTTTTTTTTTTTTTTTTTTTTTTTTTTTTTTTTTTTTTTTTTTTTTTTTTTTGTATTGTTGTTGTTGTTGTTCTTTTTACCACCAGTACATCTAAAAAAGCAGATTGAGCCTCTCCTAAAAAATAGGTGGCCATGAACTGCCGATTCATTTTTGCATGGCCTCCCAATTTTTAGGAGAGGCTGAATCTGCTTTTTCGGATGTAATGGTGGTTTATGAAGACAGTGCGAGGCTCAAGGCCTCGGAGCCTATTGGGCCCTGTTTTCAGCAATTTCGGCTGCCCTAAGTGAAGGCAGGCCCGACCAAGGATGAGAGGCCTATTTTGGGCTTACCACACAACTGGGATATTCAGGCAGTTGCGCAGCGCCAGTTGGTTGAGAGAACCCAGTCCGTGCCTTTCGTTCTCAAATCTATCTGAGGCAGGCCCTGGGCTGGACAGGGGGCATGGAGTGCGCACAGGCCGCTGGCAGTTGGACACGGGTAACCACCCCAGGCCCTGTGAATGATCCCCTTGGACCGGGGCGCAGCCACTTGGGGCCCACTGGAAGCTTCTGGGCGAGGGGCCGGTGCAGCCAGGCAGCACGCAGCAGGCAGGCCATTTCCATATAGGAAAGTGCCTGTCCCCGCATTCGGCATTCGGGCACTTGCTTCATGCTGTGCAAGCGCTGCTGCGTTACTGTTCTGCTTTTGGTTCGAGGTCATGACTATCTGGTTTCATGTGTATGATGCTGCTTGGTTTCTGGAATTCGCTGTCGCTCATTTTCCTTGCATTTTGGTATTGGAGCTGTGGTACGTTGCGCTAATCTGGCGCTTGTCTTCTGCCTATGCGGTACATGCATGCGGTCTGCTGGGTTAGCGGCCGTAGGGAGTGTGTAGTGAGGAGGGCGAAGGCAAGCAGGCGACCCAGGTGGAGAGGGGTATCACCAGGAAGACTGTGAGGTGGTATTGGGTGTTCACAGTGTGATGAGAACTATCTGATGTGCGATTGATGCTGAGGTGGAACGGCTGTATTATGCTGGCTGTGCCGAAGCAATGATTGGTCATCACAGTCGGCATCAGGTCATCTGGTGAGAATATCTGTGGTTGGGGGCAGCTATTTTGAGGTACGTTGCTCTTAACCTTATCTACCCTCTTCGACACTTCTTACAGTAAGGATGTGTGTTCTGTCTGGAGAGTCCTCTCATGTGAGGAGTTGAGTGCGCTCAACCTTGAGAGTCGGCATTGTTCACGTGGAGCATCTGGAAGGAGAGGGCGGAGCTATTTGAAGGGCCCTGGACGAAGCACTGGGTCACGGTCACCATGCCAACCCACCGGGAGTAAAGCAGGCATGCTTTGCTGCTTTGTCCTTTGTCTGCCTACTGCGCTATAGATGGGTTATGGGGGGCAGGCCAGCCCTACAGGGGAGACGAGTACCGGACGTCTATAAATGAATACCGGCGGGGTTACCTTCCATTGGCTGTGATCGTCGTCATGTTTGCGACGTTAAATAATTCACGAGGATTTCGGGGGCCGTCAATCGGTCGGTGTAAGGCTCACTGCACGCGAGGGTAAACATGGTGCAGGGCTGGCTGTTCAGCATTGACTCGGGGCATAGGGGTGGGCCGTGTGCACACCTTTAGACACACATGCTATCTGGATTGCTCAGGGACGCTGACGTCAAGCGACAATCAGGAAGAACTGAGGGAGGGGTAGATTTCAGGTGATAAGTTCGGGAACAATTCCACTCTGCCAACAGCCATCCAAACGATTCTATTTTTATTTTTGATTAGTTAGATGTACAACCATTAACATCTGACAGACAGCATAGGTAGAACAGTTTCTGCTCATTTGCTTTCTGTTTGCGTACTAGTCAAGGATACTAGTTTTTGAAGGAATCTGGGCTTACCTGTTGGACCCAAATGTGTATACTTTGACACTGCCACCGATTATTCGGTCTGAGAACTAATCTGCGGTAGGCAACTTAGTCTGTCCTAGTGCAGACACTGCACAATTGTGTAGCTTATGAGCGACAGGGAGATTCCTAACCCGGACGATAGGATCCTGCGATCGGCTAGGCGCCCGTTGGTCCATTTAGCCTTGGGACCAGAGGGGGACTGTTTTCTGTTCCGCCAGCTTAGGGAGAGACAGCAGCAGCAGCGGAGGGCTAGGGACGCAGAGGCGAGCAGAGCCTCACAAGTGAAGCAGCTACTTCAACAGCCATGGCCACCGCTGCGCAACGAAGTTCCCAAGCCAGTAGTTCAGGAATTGGTGGGGCGACGGTCGCACAGACCCTGAGCCAGTCCGCTGGCGTCATGGCAAGCTATTAGTTAGTGTTAACTCCCGAAGAGGTAGCCATACAGAGAGCAAGTGCTCAAGAGGCACAACTACAAAAGGCATTAGATGAGATACAAACATAAAAGGATAGAATGATCAGAAGAAGGTTTAGGATGCAGCAGAGACAAGCGGACATTAGAGAGTTAGAGGAGGTAAACCTGACCAAGATGGATGATGATGATGTGTGCATTGTGAGGGCAGCCCTGTTAGATGTCGTAGAGATGCAGGACTACCACACGTCGCTCTTGTAGGACATTCAACGGAGCCTGGCCGTGCTGGTCGGGCGAGTTCAGGCCGCACCATCACCATCAGGGCCCCGTGCTTGGCCCGTGGTACAGCCTCCTCCTTCTGTCCCACCGGTGATTGGAGTTTCCCCATTTGCAGTATCTGCAGCTTCGGTACAGGCTGCTTCCCTATTGAGTATGCCTTTGACAGGCGGGTTAGCAGCAGGTCTTAGTGTAAAGGTTCCTATGCAGACATTGTTATCCCAACCTCCGTTGCAGATTGCTGTAACTGGGCAGCCTGCCGTTTGGTAGCCGGCACAACTGTAGGGTACACAGCCCCAGCAGCAGCTAGTGCAGGCACCGGGACAAGGACAATGGGTTCCAAAAACTGCCATTGCATCGCCTAAACCCTTCTCAGGAGATAAGAGGGGTGAGGATCTTGACACATGGTTAAGGTCAGTGCCAGTCTATGTGAAGTGCAAGGTGACCTTGCAACACGAGGAAGTGCTTGTGGCTGCCTCCTATCTAGAGGGGAGTGCAACAAGATGGTTAAGCGGGTATGTGCAACTTCAGGGGTACGGTCATGACCTTCGCGCTTGGGCAGTTAACCAGAAGTTGGATGACTTTCTCAAGCTGGTGGAGGAACGGTGGCATGATCCGCAGGAGGCCCAAAAGGCCACTGATGCGATTCTGACCCTGAGCTCAAGGAAGTTAAGGTCAGTAAGGGATGCCACAGACGCTGTCGAGCGTTTGATCTGTACCTGAGTGTGGTACGATCCCTAGGTCTTACTCACCACTTACATGAGGTGTCTTCCCATAAAACTTAGGAATCAGTTCGCAGGTGAGGCAAATATCACAGTGCACAATTTTCCCTCCTTCAGCAAGAAGGCCCTAGATTTAGAGGGCAAGATCGGGCATGGGCACCAACCCACAACGGATGGTAGAAAGAAGCCGCTGCCTCCCAACTGGAAGGCAAGGGTTGCATCATGTTCGTCGATAACGATGGTTCAACCATAAAGTTAGATGACGACTTCGAGGAGGGAATACGGCCGGAGGCAGGCAGCGCATAAGCTTCAGGGGGTGGAGCAGTCACTGCCTCTGTGCAACAAAAAGGTAAGGCGACCGGTAGACGCCGCAAAGGCTCCCGGTCTAGGAGTCAAGTAAATCCCAATGCTCCTCTATGGGAGAAAGCGGGTCTTACTGAGGACGGATGGAGAGACCATTACTCTCGATAGGCTTGTATCCGTTGTGGCAAATATGGCCATAACCAATTCAAGTTTCGGAACAAGACGGTGATGGAAAAGATCCCGCCTACAATGGGGCAGATGTCGGTTTCCTCCGCATCCCAGGGCAACAGTATAGCCAGCAGTTCTGGCACTGCTTGGGGAAACACGTCGGGCCAGTAGGAATTGTAGCTGTTCCTGCCAGGGTGCAGGTGGTGGCCACACCCTCACCATCTCGAGAGATCGTCCAAGCTATTGATTTCGTTGTCATCCCGTAAACACATTCACATCAATCGATTCTTTGTTCGATGAACGCGTTTGAGTCATTAGAGGAGCTAGAGGAGGAGTGGTGTAGATCAGACCCGCTAGCTTCTTGGATGGCCATGGCTAAAGCTCCTAAGGGTGAGTTGTTCGTTGACGAGGTAGATATAGGCGGTCGCAAGGCGGGGGCCTTTTACGATACTTGCTCGACGAGGAACTTCATCAATCGCGCGTGCGTTGAGAGGCTGCACTTATAGGGGAAAGTGCAATGCTTGAGTCGACCTGTGGAGTCGACCTGTGCCAACAAACAGTGCATGGTAGTCACAGACTACCTCAAAGACATAGTGTCGTTTCCCGTACGCGGGAGGAGAACTGAGACATCGGGTCTCGTTCCTAGTCAACGATGATCTCCCGATGGACATCTTGCTGGGTATGTATTGGGTATGTACTATCTTTCGGTTGCACAACTCCAGTTTGACTGGGACCGAAAAATGGTCAAACACACTTTGCTCAGAGGGGGGACCGCCAAATTACGTAAGTATAAGGCTAGTAGTCTGATCGAGTCTCTCTGCAGAGGGCGAACCGGTGAAAATCTCTCCAGAGATAGAGGGAGTGGTCGCTAGATACCCTGATTTATTTGAAGAGCCGAAAGGAGTTGTTGAGAGGGAGGTTGTCCACGCGATTGAGATTATCCCAGGGTCTAGTATTCCGAAGGGTAAAATCTATCGGATGTCTCCATCGGAGCTTGATGAGCTTCGTCGGCAACTCAAGGAACTCATAGAGAAGGGGTGGATCCGGCCTAGTGTTTCCCCTTACGGATCACCTGTCTATTCGTACCAAAGAAGGGGGGAACCTTGAGGATGTGTATTGATTATAGGACCCTCAATGCCATCACTGTGAAGAACGCAGAGCACCTACCGCGCATCGATGACTTATTGGACCGAGTGCAAGGGTGCCGGTACTTCAGTAAGATAGATCTGAAGTCCGGGTACCAGCAGATTGCAATACGGCCCGAGGATCAACACACAACCGCTTTTCAGACCAGGTGCGGTCTGTACGAGTTTGTGGTGATGCCTTTCGGCCTTTGCAATGCTCCGAGCACCTTCCAGCACACCATGAACCGAATCTTTCATGACTACTTCGACAAGTTTGTCATTGTGTACCTCGATGGCATACTTATCTTTAGTAGGATTGTGGAGGAGCATGTTGGCCAAGTCTTTAGCCTCCTTCGGCAACCCCAGTTCAAGATCAACCGGTAGAAGTGCGAGTTTGGCTGCACCCGGATCTTGTATCTGGGCCATGAGATTTCCGCGGAAGGATTGAAGCCTGATGACACAAAGGTGGCCAGCATGTGCGACTGGCCTCGTCCTCAGTCTGTGACCGAGATGAGGTCCTTCTTAGAGATGAATGGCTACTACCGTAACTTTGACGGACTGACACGCCTTGACACCCCTTGGGAGTGGACAAACAGGTGTGAGGCTGCTTTCAGACATCTAAAGCACTCCTTAACACACCATGAGGTCTTGAAACTTCCTGATCCTGACAAGCCATTCATAGTAACCACGGATGGCAGCTAATATGACATTGGTGCCGTGCTTGCGCAGCAGGAGGGGCCGAAGTTGAGGCAAGTTGAGTACATGTCCAAAAGGATGCCCTCTGAGAAGTTGGCTAAGTCCACCTATGAGAAGGAACTCTATGAGATCTACAAAGCACTAACCCACTGGAGGCACTACCTCCTTGGGAGGTTCTTCTACGTCAGGACTGATCATCAAACCCTGAAGTGGATGAGAACCCAGCCAGTGCTCTCTGATGCGTTGAGACGCTGGATCAAAGTCATTGAACAATATGACTTCGAACCCCAGTACATCAAAGGGGAGTAAAACAAAGTTCCGGATGCGCTGTCGTGTAGGCTGGACTTCCTGGGTGCGCTGATCACTGAGTTCAGGCTTGCGGACGATGTTACTCCATCCCTGGTGGAAGCCTATCACGAGGATCCGTTTATGTCAGAGATCATACGCAGAACCGAAGCGAAGGACAAAGTTACTTCTGATGAGTTTATAATTGTCAATGGCCTGAAACGTTTGTGGGTGCCTAATCGGGAGTCGTCGCTCAATGCTGCCCCCAACCATGGACGGAGAAGTCGACATCGACGACATCGTGGACCACATAGAAATGCGGGTTCCAAGATCGACAGGAAGGGGACGTCCTCCTAAGCCGAAGCTGCAATATCGCGTTTGGTTCAGACATCACACTGATCCTAATAAGGACAGATGGTTTACCCGGGAGGAACTGATGCAGACCGCTCCACAGGGTGTCGCTCACTATGAGAAGTCACTGCAGAAAGGAAAGCGCCAGATTGAGTAATTGAACTTCTTAGAGGACTGTCGGAGTATGGATGAGGGAATGCGAGGCTGAAGGCCTCGACCCTGTTTTCAGCAATGTCGGCCGCCCTAAGTGAAGGCAGGCCCGACCAAGGACGAGAGGCCTATTTTGGGCTTACCACGCGACTGGGAAATTCAGGCAGTTGTGCAGCGCCAGTTGGTTGAGAGAACCCAGGCCCTGCCTTCCTTTCTAAAATGTATCTGAGGCAGACCCTGGGCTGGACACGGGGCATGGACTGCGCACAGGCCACTGGCAGTTGGACACGGGTAACCACCCCAGGCCCTGTGTCTGATTCCCTTGGACCGGGGCTCAGCCACTTGGGGGATCGAGGTTGTGAGTGATGCGTGAGACATACCTGGTGCTTGAGGCGAACGGTGTTGGCCGAGATCTGCTCGTACTTCGGGAAGCTGTTGATGTCACCAGCGGCATTGAAGATAGGCTAGATAGGATCTGCCATTTGCAGTCTGGGTGGTGAGCGCCAGATAGGAAGTCGACATTGGTTCATTGTTGATGATGATGAGACTATTCCAACATTGTCACTTGTGAGGTTTTGCTGTGCTCTTATTTGGTGGGAACTCTAGTTGCAATTCTGCTTTTGGTTCGAGGTCACGACTATCTGGTTTCGTGTGTATGATGCTGCTTGGTTTGTGGAATTCACTATCGCTCATTTTCCTTGCAAAAAAAGTGACACACATTTCTTTTAACCTCTGTTCACAGTGCGGAAGAAGAAGAAGAAGAAAAAAGAACAAGTGTAGTGCCTGTTCTGATATGTATACCTGATTCTTGTGTCCCAGATGCTCGGTATTGATGTATTTTAAATCGTGTATTTGTTCATTTATTGGAGAAAACAGGACCCTATGCTCGCGGCTGTGTTACTTTTTGATCTGTAAATTGAGTTATTGAGAGTTGGTGAACAGCATTGATTGCTCCCTAAAGAAGGGGGATGGACTGCCACCAATGAAACTTGGTCCGAGCCTCTGTGGAATGAAGATCTCCATGCCCGACTTCCATGGCATGTAGTCTGAAAAGTGAATGAGCCCATCGTTCCACCCATCTTGTACTCCAGCATCCCTCCTTTTGGCTCAGATTTCCTTGGCCTTTTTAGCTTGGATGTGGCGTTGTGTGGGTGCTTCACAACTCCACCTCAAGAAGCAACACACTAGCAGATCCGAGCGAAGAAGTAGAAGGGAGGGAGGATGCTCCCTAGTTTTATAAGCAGACAGCTTGGGAAGAAAAGGGATCGTGGTGTGTAGAAACTGCAATGGTTTAGAGTTGTGATGAACCTTCCCTGGTCTTTGGGTTATGAGATCAAGTTCAGTATTCTCAAAAATGAATTCATAAAAATGAAAAGAGATTTCTTGAATAGGGAAAGGAGGTGTGTGTTGTTCGAGACGTCCAATAAATTTGGAACGATACAGAGAAGATTAGAATGGCCCCTGCCCAAGGACGACACGCATAATAAATAGAGAAATGGTCCAAAGTTATTGAGAGGCGACATCTGCAGCGGGCCGTGGCCAGGCTTCCTGGAAAGAAGAGAAAAACAAAGAAAAAGAAAGTGAAGGAGATGTTCTGTCCCGCGTCTCTCGTCTTGGGGCTGCTTGGACACAGCACGCTTGGCTGGAGTGGTGATATAGTTGTGCACGTCGGATTGACATTCTTCCATATTTTTCTGTGGTGCTCAGCCTGAAGCCTCGGCGAGGATGGGTAGACCCATCGTTTCGTGCATAAAAGTTCTCGATACGTCGGGACTAAAGATGTCAGCCCTATCAAAGCTGAAGGTGAGGGGGTTAATAACACAACCTTATACTTTCTGAATACCCCCCATAACCCCGTTTTTGCTTCTCATGCCTCCCCTTCCATCATGTTTTGTTCGTTGGTAGTCGAAGGCCATGGAGTGGGATTCCTGTTGCGTAAGGAATTCCTTTGCTGTAAATTGCTGCACAATTTCTCTGTGGGACTCTGATAGTAATTTTTGGAATGTTGGAACTGGGAATCAATGTCATCTGTATCTGCAGCTGCGTCAATGGTGCCCTTCTTCACCTCCTGCCCCCTTCGGCCCCTCCTCCTTCCCCCCCCCTCCCCCCCCTGTTGCTAAGACCTTGCTCCCTTCCCTTCTTTTTGCTGAAGCTGTGAATCAATGCTTAGGTTAAGCGTTCAACAAGTCCTGTCAGATTCTCCAATTTTAGGGGCTGTGAAGATGGTAGCAATTGTATTTGGGTCAACTTTCAGTCTAGATATGGCCTGTGAAGATGGTAGCAATTGTAGGCTCTGTGTTGTCCTCATCTACACCGATGTCCTGAAAGGGCATAGTACCTACTACTGCCTTCACGCGAGTAGCATGGCCACTGTCATTATAGCGGTGTTTGGGGCAACTTTCAGTCTATAGATACTCTGTTTTCATTCGCAGGAATACCTCCATTAGCAGGATTCGCAGTTCCTGGGGCAACTTTCAGTCTATAGATACTCTGTTTTCATTCGCAGGAATACCTCCATTAGCAGGATTCGCAGCAAATGTTTCCTCTCGTCTTTGCTGCTCTAGGTTGCGGAGCTTATTGGTATACATGTTTTTGAAGAAGAGTCGATACGAACTCTTATTTTGAAAATGCATGCCGCGCCCCCAATTTTTGTCTATCATAAAGGGAATTTGAGAGTCAGTCTTGATGGCATTCAAGTGTCCGATTCCTTCCATGGGTGAGAATCCGGAACCCAGATACTGTGCTCCCCTTCATTGTGGTTGAGGCACCCCAGGCGAAGATCCACAGGATACTATTATATGTGTTCCATTCGTGCAAAGATGGTGGGAATTCTATTGTCCTTTTTTTTATTTTCGTTTTTAAGTCTTAACTAAATTACATTCTTCTCTCGATTATACCCCACACTACCTACCTGCCCGCCCACACACAGCAATCCATGTCTAAGCACAGTGGATAGGGGTAACCGGTATCTACCAACCGAAATCTACCGAGTACGAAAGTAGCTGCAACCCATGTCTAAGCACGGAGGATAGGGGTAACCGATAACTACCAACCGAAATCCACCAAGTACGAAAGTAGCCGCAACCCATGTCTAAGCACAGAGGCTAGGGGTAACCAATATCTACCAACTGAAATCTACCGAGTACGAAAGTAGCCGCAACCCGTGTCTAAGCACGGAGGATAGGGGTAACCGATATCTACCAAGTACGAAAGTAGCTGCAACCCACCAACCACAATCCACCAAGTGGAAGCAGCCCAAATCTACTACATCTAGCAAGGCATTGTCTATCTACTCTTGTGCAGGGAGCAAGTTCCTATTCTGAAGTCCTAACCCCCAGCAAGGGATGGCAAGGGGGCGATGACCATAGAGAACTCAGGCTCCTACCAAGACCACCCAGGAGGGGCAAACCAACTATCTCAGCTTGGTGGACATCAAACATGCTGCATGCAGGCGCCCATGGGGGGTTGAACCCATGACCTCCTGAATGCCACTTGCCTGCAAAATCAACTGAGCTAGGCTGCTGGCCCTGTAGGGCCCTTATTTTGACTGGCCTTGTGGACGAGTACGTGTCCCAGCGTATGCTGTAATATGGTTGTTTATAGTGTCATCCATCTGTGCTGGATGGTTTGGAGAGGATCTTCTGTCCTTTTGAGCAATTAGCTGTGTCTCATTATGCCGCATGATATGTAAGAGATTCGATTGACTGCCCTTCCGTTTCCAGTAGTTCACGCCGCAGCGTGCCTAGGTCAAACTCGAGGCAGTCCAGGCCGGCAAGGCATTGAATATCTACAGGGATTTGTTATACTGAATTCTGTCCTCGTCCCCCTTCCCCTGGCTTGATTTCATGTCATCTTTCGGACACGAGTAACAGAATCCCAGAAAAAGAGTATGAAATGGCACTCAAAAGGTGATCGGGTTCAGCGATGGGCGAAGCTCAGTTGGTACACCCATGCATTGTTCAAATGCAGACCCGTGTTCGAATCCATATGAACTAGATGAAGGAAGTTAATTCTTCCGGAATTACCTGGGGGGGGGAAAAAGTGGTTGGATTGCCAACGCATGGCACAGAAAAACTTCTGCATTAGCTACCTCTCTCATCTAGGATGTGGGGCGAAGGTATGCGGCGAAAGGTTAGAGATTTGTTGGCCGATTTGGTGGAGATTGTGTTTGCAACTCCCATCTCTCAATCATGTGATGCAAGTCAGTCTAGTTTGTGATATATGCGGATCTCTCTGTTTTTTTTTTGTTTTTTTTTTTGTTTTTTTTTTGAGGGGGAGGGGCAGAAGGGCAGGGGGGGTATTATCAGGTCTTTTTATATGTGCATTACCCCCTTACCCCTTATCTTTTGCATGTGCAGATTGTTACGGCCATCGCATCAATTGATGATCTGAACTATCCAGAGAAGACAGACACATACTACATTGTTAATACGCCGTATGTCTTCTCGACATGCTGGAAGGTTCGTACGACTATCACATTTGGTAATCACACTCAGTAATAAGAACTGGAAAAGAGTAGGCATGGCTGTGGAGTTGATACTTGTGAGGGCTTGGGTGGAAGGCTACTATTTGCAAGTTGTGCTGTAGGTACTGGTTTAACTTTTTTTTTTTTTTGGGGGGGGGTACCCTGCCTGTGCGATAATGTTCTGTGGAAGGTTGGAGAAGGATCAAGCATGCCTTATGTTTGCAACTTTTGCACCGATTTGATCTTTGGCCCCGTTCACTGAGCTCCTCCTTAGGCCTAGTTTATAAGTTCGTTGGGGAGATGGAAGAACAAAGGAGAAGTGGGAGTAGTCATCCTCCCCGCTCTTTCCGCTCACAGAGTGCTGTATGGACTACTGTCTTCCGCCGAACACAACACACCCGGAGAATGGATGTATACAATCTGTCTTCCTAGATGCTGTTTTAGGTATGGTGACCAAAATGGTGTCACAGATGCTGTTTTAGGTACAGTGATCAAAATGGTGTCACATTCTGTGAAATATGGCCTTTCATCACTGAATCTGGTCGTGATTACAATGAGATCCAATTTGAAACTATTAGTGCATGCGAATATTGCCAGAGCAATCTATCCTGATCAATAGGCATCATGGTAACCCCGGACCCGGACACCGGACACTTCCGGACTGTCTTCCGGACCAGTGTCTGGACCAGTCCGGACTGTCCGGTGATCCGGACATTACTGGATACCGGAAAGTCCGGACCGGTCCCCGGGGTGCAAAAATGTCTGGACCTAACAAAA